CAAACAGGGGCTGGTTCCGGAGCAGCCACTGTTCATGGTGGCCAGCCTCATCCACCGAGAACAGAGACTGCTTGGCAGCAGCCCCCGTCCATGGCCACCCTGGTCACCAGGATCAGAGGCTGCTCCAGCACCAGCCCCTGTTTGTGGCAGACAGGGCCAAGCAGTTCTAGCTTGTTCTGATTGCTGTGCCTCTTGATTTTAAATGTAATAAGAGCCTGGCAGCTGTTTCTACATTTAAAATGCAGAGTCGCAGCGCAGATGGCTCCTGGAGCCAGCACAAGCCTGGACTGCTCAGTTTCAGCTCAAGCTGGCTCCTGGAGCTACAACTGCTATGGCTCTGCAGAGGGGTCCTACTGACTAATAGTATAGTCAATACAAATTGTATCAACTATATGATTAGCCTGATACTTGCATTTTAACATCCTTATCCAGAAGGCTACAGTTCATGGGAGAAGTGCTTCAGTATCAGGCTCTTGAAGGAGATGAGTTAATCTGGCACAGGCTGCAATAGGAGCAGATGGATGTGATGGACTACCTGACTATTAGGGTACGTCTACACAGAGTACTGATGTTATTTCGAAATAACATAGTGTATGTATGCACTACAAACCTTTATTTCAAAATAATGTTGAACTGGGGACTTCTTACTTCCGCTCATGGTAACCCTCATTTCATGAAGAATAAGGGAAGTCGAAGGAAGAGTATTCTTCCTTCAACTTCCTGCTGTGTAAACAGCACCAAAAGCTGAGTTAAGCTATTTTGACATAAGCTACACAATTGACATAGCTGAAGTTGTGTAGCTTAATTTGACTTTAGCCTTGCTGTGTAGACATGCTCTTATAATTTTGCTGTCAGGGATTCTTTGTAAAACATAGGATTTGAGGAACACACTTCTTGCTTCCTATCCAGGTGAATGCAGTCAGTAGGAGTCAGACGGATTTCCTTTGGTGGGCTCTTAAAATGAAACCCAAGACAATAAATATTCCCTGTCAAGAGTTAAGTGCCTCCTCCTGGACTGGTTGCAAATAAGTTGACACAAAAACTATATTAAACTACCTGAATCAAAAGTAATCATAGAGCAATACGACTCTCACTAAATTCTGTTCACTCTAAAGATTAGAGGAATGGGCCAGATTTTGATCTCTCTTACACTGATGAAAATCCAGTGTCAGGGACTGACAGACTTGCTGAGCCCCAGCTCCTTGCTTTTGGTAAGGGTGGGGCTTCAAGCAGAAGGGGCAGGGCTGGGGCTGGTGCCAGCTCTCAGAGCCGCCCGAAGCATGCTGCATGGGCACTCCAGTGTCGATTTAAAGGGCCATGGGCTCCGATTGCTGCCATAGTAGTGGTGGCAGCTGGGAGTCCCAGGCTCTTTTGAATTGCCAGGCCCTGGGCAGTTGCCCACTTGTCCCCTGCTTCACCACATTGGTGGGCCTGGTATAGAGTTATTCTGTTTACATCGAGGATATCAGCATTGCATTCCAGTTACTACATCTAAGAGGGTGTACTTAACATGATCATCCTTCCTGGAGTAATTTTCTGCTTGGAATGCATAGTGTTCACATCTGATTGCCTTTTGGGATTTACCCTATTTCTGGGTGCATGCCTGGTCACAACCAAAGCATCTGATAACTTCAGGTAAGGGCAGAATGAATACCAGGGTAACATGGAGAACATCTCTTCATGGTATAAATGATTAGATGCTGGAATGGACCCAATGAGGTGAAGTTCCTAGAGACACCATCAATGTCAGTGTTAATAAACAAAAGTAACTCACACCAGAGTGAATAATGATGTAGGGATTCTGACTAGTAGACTAGAAGTGTGTTTTTTCAAAGCCCTAATACACATGGATATAAACTGTCAGGTCTAAATTCTTGTCATGACTTCACTGCAGTGACTTTCTTTATGCCACTTATGGCGCAGAGGATTTTCAGGCTGGCTTTATTGAGTCTGAAGATGGCCTGGGCCAGCATAGGTGGGGGGAGTAGAAGGACTCTTCAGCACTTCTGAATCCTGTCCCCTTCTCCTGGCCCAGTAGGCCCTGAGATTGGGATAACGTCAACTAAGCAGTTGAGAGGGAGAGAGAGGAGGAAATGTGAAAAGAAAAAAACCTTCCCCTGTGTGTGGGTCAGGGGATAAAAGGGCAGGGAAGGTACTATACTACCCCACTGCCTCTCACCTGTTTAGGTTGAGGAGAAAGTGTCACCCTGTCTGGCAGCTCTGCTTACAAACTCTCAACCAATAGCACTGTTGGGACATGCAATCTTGGTAAGAATACCTGTGGATGACTGTCAGTCATCTGTAGCAACAGGCTTCTCTGGTGGTGCCTGCATATGCACAGGGACTACAACACTATTCCCAAAGGCTGGGCTGGGATAAGAATCATGGAATCCCCTGGGAAGTCTGAGGGTAAAGCTGCCAGGTAGTGGACATGTGGCAACTCTAGAATGGTCTCTCTCAGGATTCCAATTGCTCTTGGTAACCAGACTCTGGCTGGGCTACAGAATTGCAGGTAGTGCTGCACCACATAGCTCTCTGGGACTGAGGGTGAGCGATTAAGAAATAAACAATGACAGAGCCCATACATAACTAAGATCAGATACATGGTGACTCATCTAGAATATGCTGGAAATGTGTTAGAGGTGGAGTAAGACAGTTTTACTTCACCCACAAGAGAGTAAAGTGCTTGGTTCAGCAAATCATAAACTACCTTGACTGAATTAATTGTCCCATTTCTAGGAAAGGAAGAAAGTACATACTGGAGATAAATCATAAAGAGTTGTGAGATATTGTGTAAATCCCTGATGAAACTATGAAGCTGTTGAAAAAAAGAGTTACCAGGGCAACAAGGTCTAAATCAGACTTACATGAACTGAAGGGAGAGAGAAACACAAATCTATGTTTAGCAGTCCACAGGGGAGAAGATCTGAAACTACTGTATGCTCACACCAAAGAGGGAAAAGTGCAATTTCAAACAGCATAATTTGCTACTTGGTCAACAGCTAAATGGGAAGCACAAGCATGAGTTCTATATTTCTATTAAAAAGAGCTCCCCCTCATTAAGATAAAGAATCTAAGTTCAGTACCATACTGAAGGGGCAACACAAACAACTGATTGTATAAATCATTAAGACTTTACTGAGATTTATAGCTTCAGAGCCTCATAACAGCATGGATGGATGCTTAGATGTTAGAGTTTATAGTTGTGAAGCTAGAAAATTACCTTTAAAAGTAATCTTTAGGTCACATTTTATCTAGACAGTAATGATATTGATCAGAAATGTGCTATACATCTCCTAAATTACTTCATAGAATCTGTTCCAAACTGATTATGGAGGGCTAAGTTATAATGAGCCAAATTATGTTCTAACATCTTCCCTGAGATGTGGAAGGCCTTGAAATCAGTAGAACTGCCATAGTTCTTCACAGAACAACAAAGGCCCAGGGACAGGCAACAGAATAACAATGTATGTGGATTCCATGTGCACCACTACTCTGTTACAGTTTTGCCACAGGGCAGGGAAAAAGTGTGCTGGTTGAACCAAAACTATACACACTCCCTGGTTACCCTCTCTTCTCTTTTGTGTCCCCTTCTCTAGAGATGGAGTTTCTCTCTCCAGTGTGACTCAGCCAGCCAGATAACAGAATTAACAGAATTGAAGGGTAGGGTACCATTCATTTCTCTTCTCTCCCCATGACATGCTATTTTCATTGACAAAACGGTGGCAAATGACATCCTGTCAAAAGCATTGTGAAAGAATGCCAAGAATCAGGAGACTGCTTAGTGAGACTCATAATTTAGCAGGCAAAGACTACCAGTAAAGCTACCACATATAGGTTTTGCCACCCCCGGCATCTGAGCAGGCTATTCACAATTCCACAGGCGGCATAGTCTGGCACATCACTTGCATATTATGTAGGTGGCAGGGTCGGTTCTCTCATAGGAAACATGAAGGTTATCCAGGTTAGGCACCTCTGTCAATAGATTCTTATAATGAGCAGATAAAATATTTCATGGGGAAATTTTCCTGTCAGAGGTGTCACTGTGGCTTACTGCCTCAAAGATGCTTCTTTGATGACACGGTAACATGATTTTAGCCAGGCACACACTGGGCTAAAGTCCTTCTTCCAGCACTTTACCTGTCCTTTATTTATCATCAGCAAGTCTTTGGCTCCCAAACTAGTGCTGCCCTGCATATAGGATTGGCCTTTAACAATGGAACACGAAAGGCAGAATGGGACAAATGCCAGAAACTTTGATTTCTCAAATAAATAATTGGACACCCACACCAAAATTAAAGATTTGGATTCACCCAGTTCCAAAGAAAGTCATACAAGTCTTAATTTAGCTCCCCTCGTGAGTACTGCTGTTCTAACCAAAGCCCTTGGTATTTGTGATCTCTTCATGTTGGTGACAAGAGTTAATCTTTGGCCAAGTACTCCTCTCCATTATGATTACTCCCATAGCCTTTTATGTTACTTTTAAGTGTAGAAAATGCCACCCTAAGACCTGCCAAGAGACTCATTTGCACATTGCCAGTTGAGGCACAAATTCATCTAGGCCGAGCATAGATACTGTACATTGCAAACTAAATACTATAATTCCCGGGGTATCACAGGAACTGAGAAACACTAGCCTGTATCAAACTCAACATTACTATTTATTGGAAGAAAAAACAATAATGCTACTAATAAAAATCCAGTTGACTAGAATCTAGAATGATATTCTAGGATATGATTATATAGAAATGGGATCTATAGTGATGGTTGAGGAGCCCTGGGAAGGTGGAGCTGATATCCATGTCCGTGTGTGATTATTTTCAGAGCCACTGCAGAGAACTCCCTGCCTGTTGGGCAACAAAACCATGAGTAGCTCACAAGTAATTGCTGCCATGGAACCTTCATGTATCTGGGATACCCAGTGAAAAGGATACCTTAGTAAATATCAATGAATAATGTCCCAGTGCTGTCTATTTAATATAAGACATTAAGTTAATTACCTTGCTCTACTTCACTTTCAAAAGACAATTTCCTTCTTCGAAGTTTGCAGTTATCTCCATCCGAATCATTAGTGGTTTGTGATCTTATTATGAGATCAGCCTTGATTAAATGAAACATGTAATGCAATGACAGATTAGTCCCATTTGAAAACAGCATATTATCAATAGGCGATTGACTGTTAATCATGTTCCAGTTTTAAGGAAGGCAAGATTACACTCCTCAGTCTGGATCAACTGGAAACACTATTGGCATAGACCAATATTAATAATAAAATTATCATCTGGATGGAATAATTCTACAGTGTCACCATCTAATGGGGAAATAATAATGTCCAGACAAATTAGTTTGTTATAATGCATGAGTGTGTTGTCATCAGCTCCTAAGCTTCTTGGAATGGTATTCTAAGTAACAAAGCTTTGTGAAGTTAAATAAGAAAAAAAAAATTAAAATAAGCTCTTACAAAGAATGTGTATTATTGCAGGCAGTAATGTGGTAACTGATTATAATTAGCTGTGATGTTTAATTACATAGTAATGATTAAAAAGGTTACGTTTTACAACAATAAATATCAGGTTGATAAACACCATGTATTTTACTCTATTTTCTGTCCAGACCCTCCCTTCCTCCTTCTCTGATTCAGCTCATTGAAATATTTTTTCTGTAGCTGAAAATTGTGGTGTCTCTTTTTATCTTATGTTGTTGTCTACTTGAAGTTCCAGCTTCTGATTTTTGTGGCAGAAATGGTTTCAAGAAGCATTTAGAACATTTGAAGGGTTTGTTTTTTTTGGTGTCACTAACATGCTGACAATGTATTTAAAAACAAATAATATGTCATGAAGACAGTGCAGTGTGTGAATATGCACAAAGAATGGGCTTTGGATCCACTTTCCTTCCTCGTACTGGAAGGAATGCCTATCAGGTACGTTGCTTGGTCATGTGACTGGGCTGGGACAAAGGGGTGTTGAAACATTTACTGCTATTGCTACCACTGTCACTGTAGTCCTGAAGAATTAAGGTTTAGATGGACTTCACAATGGTACCCATGGTTGGAATAATGGAGGAAAGAAAAGAAGGTAGAACTAGTTCAGGGATAGACAGGCACAGGCATCTCTTGGCCAAATAAAACTGGGACTGCATAGAGTTTCCAAAAGCACATTGGTCACAAACATGCTGATTGCATCATTTACATATTATTTTGAGAATTACCATAATCAGCGAATTACTAGTTAAGACCCTGTTTCCACAAGCTCCTAGGCATGGGTGTCTTCCCACCATGTGGAGCCCCAAAGGTGTCTCTAGTTGAATCTTCACTTGAGGGATGAGGATAAAGCAGTTATAAGCAATAGCTTATGGCAATGGAAACATCTTGAAGAAGCTAATGTGTGTAGGGTGGAGGGAATTGGTGGGAGGGGACTATCTTTGGGTTCTACATCAAGGATTTTTGACACACATGATTGATAGAATTTCATTTTAACTCTCAATGAGCCTCCAAATAGAAAAATATTTATAAAACATTATAGAGATGGAAGTACAGGAAATAGCTGCTTACTCTGCCTTGTCATTCATAACTAATTTGATCCTCATGAACAGAGGTGGGCAATAATTTTTGATGGGGGCCACTCCATGATTCTGGAAAGTGGTCAAGGGCTGCAATTTTCTCTAGAGGGGGTACGGGGTTTGGGATGGAGGTTGGGAGTAGAAGGGAGCTTGGGGTTGGGGACTGGGCTGTAGGAGACAGTCTGAGAGGGAGTTTGGGTGAAGTAGGGGGTTATGACCAGGAGCAAAAGATTGGGATGCAGGGTCTGGGAGGGAGTAGGGGTGCAGGAGTGAATTTTGAGTTGGGGAAGTAGTGTAGGAGAGGGTGCAGGGTCTGGGAGGGAATTGCAAACCAGGGCAGGATGTGTGTGCATAGGTTTTGAATTGTGACCTAGGGCAGCAGAGGGCAGTGACCTGGGGCAGGGAGCTGGGTTGCGGGAGGCAGGCTCTGGCCAGGAGTCACTTACCTTAGGTGGCTCCCAGCCAGCAGGCCAACAGGGTCCCCGAGGCAGGCTCCCTCCTGCAGCAGCCCTAGGCTGCTCAAGGAGGTTCCCTCCATGTGCTGCTCAGGGCCATGCATCCTTGCAGCTAGAGCTAGGAGCGGGGGAGTGTGCAAAGTCTCTCACTCCCACCAGGGTCACGCAGCACCTAGAGGAAACCACCACCCATTGTGAATAGTTGGTGGTTCACTCTGTGCACTATGTGTCCCTGGTGGGGGATGGGAGGAGACTTCGCACCCTCCCTCACCCCAGGCCTATTGGAGGCTGGAAGCAGGTCTCTCACCCCCTGCTCTCCTGCCAGGGGCTTGCCTCACTGTTCAAAATGGCTGGCAGCTCCCTCAAGGTGCCCTGCACCCTCAGCAGAGGGAAGCCACCAGCTGTTTTGAACAGCCTCAGGGTCTCAATAGGGCAGGTCGTGGGCTGGATCAAACAGTTTGTCAGACCTGCAGGCCATATCTTGCTCACCTTTGCTCAAGAAGCTCTCAAATATGCCGTTTCAGGTCTAGCTTTGATGTATCAGGAAAGTATGTTACATCTAACATTTAAATAACAGTGATGATCTTTCCAAAGCAGAGATATAATATGCACAAAAAGGAAATTTTGCAAAGAAAATAATACAATTTTGATGAAAGAAGACTCAGCTTCAAAAAGAACATGATTTGCACTATAAAGTGACTTTTAAATATAAATATTTTTTAAACTGGAACATAAGTAACACCTCTCTGGTTTGTATTTTGCTGATCAGCAACCCTCTTGCCCAGCATTTGCATATGAAATCCCAGTGGCCTCTGTTGCCCATATCTCAGCTTGAATTCAGGAATAAAGAACTATGAAGAGGTCTTTGCACACTAAGGCTGTATTAATTCTACTTTAAAATATACTGGAAAACTTGGTATAACTTGACTTATATCCGGAATAATTAAACCTAAACTATTTTTTCGAATACACAACTAAAAAGGGGCCACTGGGCAGTTAGGTCCACGTTTTCTGGACATGGCTAGGTGCACTTCTACAGCATTATGTGGAAAGCAAAGCTATCTGGGTAATAGCTTCTCTCTTGCTTCTCCTGTGTTGTGATAGTGAGGCCTACACATTTTTTCCTAAAAGTGAGCTTAACCATGATAAGTGAATAAAATGTTATAAAATGTCACCATAACCAACAAATGTGGAAGAGACAGAAAGACTGAATTAGTCCAAAGAGAAAGGCCTATTGGTATAATTCAAGTCCTGTGTTTTAAGTCATGCCTGAGAAACAAAAGTAGTATAAGACTGAAAATTAGTTAGCTGAAATTGGTATATTGGAAATTAGACCTAATTAGTGGATAAAACAATGAAAGTATGGGCTATTCTGCCCATCCTGTCCTTTTGGCACCCTTCAAAAGGAACTCAGGTGAGTGAGCTGGCTACCACAGCACTGGCTAGCTGAAATACAAAGAGGAGAAGGAGTAAGGTTCACTATCATGGTTACCACCCCCACTATCTTCTAAATCCCCATCCTAATCCTAAAAGAGTCTTAACCAGACTGGGTCAAAGACCAGCAGCTAGGTGACATTGCCACCTCCATTGCCCCTCTGTAAATCTTAAGCACTACCTAGAATGTAAGGCTTTGATACTCCTTCCTCCCCTCCTCCCCACACCACCGGCATCTTTACTTTCCTTGCCCACTTTACTCCTTTGCTGCCCCCAGAATGCTGCTTTACCATACACCCCTAGGGGACTCTGCGTGTGTGTGTGTGCGTGTGTGCGTGTGTGAGCGAGATGTGGGGGGGAGTAAGGAGCAATATCAGCACTGCCTGAATCCAGGTCATTTTTCCTCACCAAAGCTGTGCAAGATGAGGGCAGAGAGCAGCAATTCCTGAGGCTTGCCTCACAACATAGCCCAGATAGGGAAAATGACCTGGATGCATGGAGTGCTTTGTGTTGCTCCTTGCTGTCAACCTCACAGACCTCTAGGGGATTGTGGAGGAATATTGGGGGGAGGGTGAGTAGTGTCTCAGTGTCACTGCTCCCTCTTCCCCCCCCCCCCCCCCCACTGCTTCTTTCTGATAAAGGCGGGAGCAGTTCCTGACATGACACTTGACAGTACTTGCTCTTGTGCTGCTGGATGGTTCCCCCTTGACCATGGGGCAGCTGCCCAGGTAGTGTACCCATAAGGTCAACCCTGAGTGCATCTCAACTCACTTCCTCTCTTTTCCCCCAAAAGGACAGTCTTTACCATTTTTAATACCTTCTAAAAGATGGTCAGATGTGGGAGAGGAGAGAAGGAATGCAGGTTCTAGTAAAGTGATAGAAATGTAGCCGTGTTAGTCTGGTCTAGCCGAAACAAAAAAAAAAGGACTATGTAGCACTTTAAAGACTAACAAGATGGTTTATTAGGTGATGAGCTTTCGTGGGCCAGACCCACTTCCTCAGATCAAATAGTGGAAGAAAATTGGTACTTTAAGGTACTAATAAAGACTCTCCACAATTAAAGGGAAAGGGAACAAGGAAAATCGTTAAAACAAAAGCCTTAATACTTTTCTGTATCTTTAATAAAAAAGTTTAAAAGGTTTTTAATGGTGTGTTTGCCATGACGCAAAGCAGGCTGAGCTTTCTGAATACCAACCTCAAACCTTGTTAAAAAGTATTAAAGGTTGGGCAGTGATAGGGTCCTGTTACAAATTTTGTCTCTTCAGGCCCATTTATTCCATCCAAATGAATTTTTGACAACCCAAGATGTACCTAAGGGGTTAATGCATACTCAGAAGCTGCTGTCTTGGCAAACTGGCTTTTTCTCCCCCACAAAGTTGATTTATATTTATTTACTCCTGGGGGAACTCTGTACCACTCTGCACACGCAGAATTCATGTTCCACACAAACTGCATTTCTCTGCAGAAAATACATTCTGCTGGAGAGGTGCTGCAGTTCTATCCTTCACCCACCAGTGACTGCTGTAGTGCCAGATCAGAGGGCAGTGAGCTCAGAGCCACAGCAGTCAGCAGCCAATAGGGAGAGCAGAGGTTGCTTTTCTCAGAGCAATATGCCTACGGGGCCAGGTAAGGGGGAATGTGGTATGTGGGGAG